CAACAACCTGTCAATTCCACGAATCCGTTTGCGACAACGAGTTCTTCCGTTTCATCCCCCTCTGCGATAACCGATCCCTACAAAGCATTTGAACGCTTGAGCATATCAGATAGTGCATCGCAAGCCACTGTAGTGAACAATACACCTATAACCAATCAAACAGGAATAACAGCAAACCAGCAAGTTTCTTCTCCATTTGATTCAATGCAGAAAACCCAACACTCTGCCAACCCGTACGATGCACTCTACAATAATAATTCAATATTTGATGTATTTCAACCTGCATCCGTGCAAAAAACAAAAGATATAGTTGTAGACAGCGGATTTGATGCGTTCCAGTCAGCTTCGACACAATCGCCTCAAGTCACATCACCACAAAGTTTGGATAATTTGTTCGACTCATACCAATCGGCTCAGCCGCCGGCACTTCAGCGAACGGCGTCTGATGGTATATTTAATAGCTTCCAGTCGGCACCAACTAATGCAATACAACGATCCACATCATCATTATCAAATGATATATTTGACCCCTTCCAATCAGCGTCAACCACTTCATTACAAAAATCTGCATCATCCTCTTCATCTTCAAGTAATAATATATTCAGTTCGTCCCAATCATTACAGACTACTTCGCTTCAACGAACCATGTCTTCAGATATATTTACCTCATTTCAGCAAGCTCCAGAATCATCTATACTAGGAAATGGATCGTCTACGAACGTATTTAATACTTTACAATCCGCTCCTAATTTAACACATCAACAACCCGCTCTCACGTCTGGTACTACAAACTCATATAATACGTTTGCTACACGACAACAATGGCCATATCAAAGTGCTCAACATCAAGACATAAAATATCAAAATACTGGCATTAATTTCACCACTTCATCAAACAACATGAACAATACTGACCCATTTTCGCCTTTTGAAATCTTTCAACAACCGAAGACAGAGATATCCGCAGGGCAGACTAGTAATCTGCCTTCGATATCGCAACAGCAGACAAGTGCAAATTACCAAACTTCCGTTAATCCATTTGTATCAACGCCGACGAATGGAACAGGCATGCAGCAATCAACCCATTTTTCTGGGACTTCGACTGCTTACGGATCACATAATCCATTTCCATTGGCATCCAATTCGGTAAACGTTAATGGATCGTTGAATAATTTACAACATACAGGTAGCAAGCTATCGTTTGATGCAGCTTTTGAAGATTTGGATCCTTTAAATAATAATAAGAAGAAAGGATTTGTGGGGAGTGAGGTGAATGGGGGAACAAGGGATTTGTTCTTCTAGGTGGCAAACGAACAAAAAACTGAACGTGAAAACCGAGATAAAGAAAAATTCAAATATGATTATGGGCTTGTTTGTATATTGTATTGTTTATAGTATGATA